CAGAGAGTCTTCCTTAATCTTCTCTCACTTTACACCACAAGTTAAATCCTGAATCTATATGAAAGCTTAGCATTTAAGCTGAAGTATTTGTGTAAAATAGATAGTTTAATTACCTTCATGGTAATACAGACAAGCCTAGGGCACAGAGATTTTTGTCATCTGGCACCTTTTGTTATCCTGTTTAACTTGCTTGTAAATCATTTAATGTCTTTGTTCCCCAGAAACTGTGTATGTGTCTTCAGCTTTGTGCTTGTGTTCCTTATTCAGAATTTTCACTTTAATTTCATGTTGTTTATTTGACTAAGACAAAATGTATCTCAAATTAGAGTTTCACGGTTGAAATCAACAAAAGACAGAAGCTCTCAGCTTGTCACTTGTTGAAATATATTTATCACTGGAAAATTACTGTAAACTAGTAGATAGACACTATAGTTGCCTGAATCTCTTATTTCCAGATTCCCATATAATAATGTTTTAGGAACATTTTGTAATGTATTTTATTTGTGTTGCCCTTACTTAAGTAAACTCAGTTTCCTCTGTGAGAGATATGAATTAATCTGATAAAATGTTTTATTAGATCATTAAGGTCTATGAATCAGTATATAGAACACTGAAGTTTTGGATGTATTCTTCTTACTAGAGTCGTTTAAGGAGCTGCCTGGTCTCTTACTTTTTCCACTGCTTGTGTTTCCTAGTGGATTGCTGGGATGGTCCTGATGGAAAACCCATCATTTACCATGGATGGACACGGACAACAAAGATCAAATTTGATGATGTAGTGCAGGCAATCAAAGACCATGCCTTTGTCACATCTGAGTAAGCTTTATTTTCCTTCAGCCTGTTTTCATATGCTTAGACCTTTCTGAACTTAATTTCTCTGTAATCTAGAGCAAAAAGTAATCAGAGAATAATGGATTCCAGTAGCATTCATTATTGCCAAATGTGGGTCTTTAATAGATACTTTTTGAGGAAGAGTCCCAGTGCATGACTATTTGTTGCTAAGGAAGATAGTAAGTACCCCAAAATGGTTTCCAGCTCCTTTCTTGGGTCTTCTTTAATTAAGTTGAAAGTGAACCTTCAGATTTTTAATACTGTGCCTTAAATCTTTTAAAAAATTAACAAAATAGTGCAATTGACAAATAATACATCTGTCATGTCACGTGGTGTTTCAGTTGTAGGGAAGGTCTTAGCTGAGAAGATACAGAACTCAAAGTATGTCTCCTGAGCTGGTAACATCAGTTGAGATCTGCATCTCTGCCCTTTAACTTGTGCTGAGACATCCTTGTCATGAAAAATATTACCCAATAACCGGGGAAGAAATCAAGCTGTCATTGTCCTGATTTCCATGTTACCACTTGGACACAATATTTTCCCATGTGGATCAGTGTCTGCACAGGAATTTTGTGTTAGTGACAGCCATAATATGGGATGCATTATGGCTTCAGACTCTTCTCAGAGCACATTTGAAGGAAAACAGATATGATTTTGTGGAGAGGAGAAACAAATTTTCACATAATGGTGCTTTAGCAGTGAAACTGTGCCCAAAGAGCTTGGAGGCTAGCTTTGTACTTGCAGATATTCAAATCTTAGAGTTCTGAACAACCTGATCTAACCTAGGAATTGGGCCTTCCCAAAGAAGGGGTTTGGATTAGATGACCTTCACAGGTCCCTTCTGACCTTGGCAATTCTATGATTGCACATCTGTTATTATTTGTTGTGTCTATATCTTCCTTTTGTCTTCTTGTTTCCTTTAAATATTTTCTCTCATCTGGGGGCTGAGGAAGGGTGTTGTCTTCCTTGCCTTGCCAGCTGTAGCAAAAAGAAATTGTCTTCATTCCCCTTGGTTTTGTCCACCAAAGATACCCAGTCATTCTGTCAATTGAAGAGCACTGCAGTGTGGAGCAGCAGCGACACATGGCCAAAGTGTTCAAGGAGGTGTTTGGGGATCAGCTTTTGATGAAGCCTGTTGAAGCCAGTGCAGATCAGCTCCCATCACCAACTCAGCTGAAAGAAAAAATTATCATCAAGGTAGGCTTGCTTTGTGTGCTGGGAGATAAAATAGGAGAACAAAGGCAGGAGCCTGAAATGCTGTTCCTGACTTCACAGGTTAGTTTCAAGAAACCCCTTGCTTGAAGTGTTTGCTGGTTACATTTGGCAGTAATGTACAGTGTTCTGTAAAACTCTGTACTCAAGTGCTTGCTCTTGGTTTCCTTTGCAGTAAGTGTTGGCAGTTCAAGTGCCAGATCAAATGTCAGCTTTTTTCTAAAAGTCTTCCAACTCCTGAAATGTCACTGCTAGATTTCAACAAGGGTTCACTGCTGCAGATGTTCATCACAGATGTTTTACACTATGTGGTTTGCTTAAAAATGGTAGAAGTATGTTCTTGAATAGGAAGATAGATCAGTATTATTATTTTTTTCTTTAAAGACTGCCTTTCATTCAAGTGAAACCCAAAGTTCTTGTGGCTGCACACTGAAATTGTGAGGATTTCACAAATTGCTGAGTGTTTGCTATCTCAGTGTGATTTAAATATGCAGTTCAGTGAAACACTGAGGCACTGCTCTGAGAAGGTAGTCCCTGTTAGTGTCAGACCTTGTGGGCAGTGCAGGAGTTTATGAGCTCTGCTGTGCACAACAACATAACCAAAAGAAGATTTCTCAGACTGAAACTGTGGTAGAATTTTTCAAACAGCAAAATTTGGTGAAGAATCTCAGGGCTGCTCGTGATCCCTGTAGTAAAATAAGAATTACTTTTGTCCATGCTTCTGTTTTCTTGCTCTTGTAACAGACAAGTCTTGTATTAGACATCTGAATGGAAGAAATAAGGGTAGATAGATATAAGATTATGCTCTTGAATGCAAGATTGGAAATAACAGAACCCCACTACAGTTTTCCACTATAAGGTAGAAAACTTTTGTTCTTAAGTTTTTGGGGATTTTTTTTTTTTTGTTCTCTCCAGAATGTCTGTTGTTTCCATGCAGAGCAGAGAGGGGACTTGCACAGGCACATGATTAATAATGTGGCAGATCTGATTTGAAGGGAATTACAGACTATTACGAGTGTGCACAAGAGAACATCCATATCACTCTGTGCTGTCTAAAAGAGCATTGACAAGTCTTTAAATAGATCAGCACCTGCCAGTGAGCTGGTTGTGTTTTTTGGCTTTTGTTTGGAAAATGTTGTCAGTAAACAGTCAGAGGCAACACCTACTTCACTGGCCTGTGAGATTTTTCAGCTAGGCCTGTCAAACTGAAATGAGCTAAGAGTAGGCTGTGCAGAACTGAATGTGGTTGAGGTCTGATATGAGAGGATTAATCCCATCATTAACTGCAGTTAAGTAATTGTGATATTGTCTGTGGCCCCTTGAGACACTTTTGTGAACACTCTAAAAAACGTAGAACTCGACCCATTTTTTCATAAGGCATTTCCCTTGTACTCATTTTTCTCATAAAAGGGTGAATTCCTCATTCATTTTAATTCCTTATCTTTTCCTTTTGTTTTGAATTTTGTTCCTTATGTACTACTTTCTGCAGAATGATTCTTGTTTATCCTTATTTCTATGTATATGTCACTTCTTGTTTTCTGTTCTTCATAAAATCGTGAGATCTTATCAAACTACTTGTTTCTTCACTGCTTCAACGATACCTCTACTACTTTTTAACCTTTATTATGGGATCCAGATTTAAAAGAAAGAAGTTCCAGGCCTGTTGTTCCTTATAGAACAGCTGCTGTTATGATAATGACAAAAGGTGGCTGTGCAATGGAGGGAGGTACTTCTAGTAACATTGAGTGTGCTGAAACATTATGACCAATTTTATGTGTGATTCTCTCTGAGTGGGTGAATGTTTATTTTTTTTTCTGGTTTTTAAGCACAAAAAACTGGGGCCAAAGGGAGACATTGATGTGAACTTGGAAGAAAAGAAAGAAGAAAAGAAGCAACAAGGAGAACTTTACATGTGGGATGCAATAGAACAGGTATTATTTCTATGACATTGCTACAGTCTAATCAGTTCTGTAATATGGAAAATTTACATGAATTTTCTTAATTAATTTCTCTAAGTAATACTGTGAGTTGAACAGGTGTGGATGAGGAGAAGAAAGTTATTTTTTTTATTGTTGCACCCTGTTTTGGGATTGTGCTTGAGAGTGGTTAGTGAGTTTCTCTCTGTTAATGATTTTAATATCTCCCAACTTTCAGAAATGGACTCGGCACTACTGCGCTATTGCTGATGAAAAGCTTTCATTCAGTGATGATATAGAACAAAGTGCTGATGAAGATTCATCAAAGGTGATGGCTGTGTTTTATTGTTTAAGCAGGTTCTTTTTATTATTTCAGATTATTTCAGTGTTTACAGATGTGTATTTTTATGCTGATGAAATTGTAGGGGTTCTGTATCAGATAACAAGTGTGGGGATAAAAAAAACTGTAAAAGGGTCTTTGCCAAGGTCAACTCTAGTTAACCTTATTTTTAATAAAATAACTTTTTCCCTTGGTTTGTGGAAGTTGCAAGGAGGAGTACAAGGACAATGAAATATAACTTCAGTACATCTATGCTGATGTTGATTTGGGCACTAAGTCTTTTAAATATTACTGCAATTCTCAAACTAAGCAGAATGAACTAATGTGTATTGTGTTACTAAAGTGTTACTTGGCTGTTGTGGATGGTAAAGCAGGGTAATTATAAAGGTGATTGGCTGGAGAGCTCAGGCCTAGGAAGAGCTGAAATCCTGAAATAAGATTGTTATGTATCACCAATAACAAGTACTTAGTTTCAAAGTCATAAAATTAGAAATGCGCTATTAAAAAATCTTATTTTCTGGTCTAGGAGGTGAAACGAACTGAACTGCACTTAAAAGAGAAATGGTTCCATGGGAAAATGAAAGGAGGAAGAACAACTGCTGAGAAACTGCTCCAGGAATACTGTGCTGAAATGGGTGGCAAGGATGGGACTTTCCTGGTTAGGGAAAGTGAAGCTTTCCCTGATGATTACACCTTGTCGTTCTGGTATGGTCATTTTCATACAAATTTAATGGGGGATTTGTTTGTCTGAGTTTGGCGTTTCCTTTTGTCTTCTGGTTGGAACATTACGAGGAATAGTGTCACATGGATTTCTGACCAGAGAGCTGTCAGAGCAAATTTTGCAGAATAAGTTTATGCCAGATTTTAAACTACTGTCAGTTAAAAATTACTATTTTTGGTCTTGTAATCTCCTTTGTCAGAATGTTTGTTGCTTGTTACTTTGGCTGTTTTACGAGATGACACAGATTTCTTGCATCTTTACAAGCTCCCCAAGTAGTTGACCAGGAATGGAGGGGGGAAATTTTTTGAAAGGAGAAAATCTGTTACAAACCTTGCATTTCCTTTATGCCCCCTCTACTCCTTCAGGAGGTCAGGCAGAGTCCAGCACTGCCGGATCCGTTCCACCAGTGATGGGGACGCTGTGAAATATTACCTGACAGACAACCTCACCTTTGACAGCATCTATGATCTCATCCAACACTACAAGGAGGCTCACCTGCGATGTGCTGAGTTCGAGCTGCGCCTCACTGATGCTGTGCCCAACCCCAGCCCTCACGAGACCAAAGAGTACGTACAGAAGCCAAGCACTGCTCCCATGGCAGTGTCCTTGCCTTGCTTTAGGTGGGCTTTTTGCAGAGAAAATTCCCCTGGATTCAGGAGCACACTGCAGTGTTGCTTGTCCATGGAAGTTTGAGGAATAGGCTTCCTGAAAGATGCTGAGGGAGAACAGTGACTTTGTGAGAACCTGGTACAACAAAGAGTGGTCACTGGGAAAGCAATTTCCTAGAAGCAACTGGAAGAGCAATGAGAGCTGCAATGCTGTGGAAATGTGCCAGTTCTTTTGTCTGTGCAGTGTTTTACAACACCCAGTGGGTTGGGTTGGATGTTTAGTAGTTGGCTGTGGTTTGCCAACTAAGTGGTCATGGTCTGTGCCATCTGGAAGCTGTGTTACTGGGGCAGTGAGCCCAAACAGCTCTATTTGCCTAACTCCGCCCTCTGCCTCACCCTGTCAGAGCTGGTTAGGCTGACTTCACCATTTGAGACAGGAGCTAAGCACGGTGTTTATTTCTAGCTGGTATTTGTCTGCCACAGATCCTGGACAGAACTTGCTCTTGTTTTTTGGCACAACATTGTTACTGCTGCCCTTTGTTCGGTTTTCTTTGCAATATATGATTTTAATTTTTTTTTTTTTTTGCCTTCCCTGGGACCTGGGAGTCACTGACCATCCACAGATAACTTTGGAAGCCAGTGAGAAGGGGAGGAGAATTTAAGGGTTAGACTTTCCTGCCTTTCTGCATAAGCTGCACTGCATACACTGCCATTATAAGTGGCCAAAGCTTCACTGAAGACACATTGGATCCAAGACAGGTCCATCCCTATGGTGAAGGATAAAATCAAGCTCTGAATAAAAATTCAAATCCCTCATGTCTTTCTTTTGTCTGTGTTTAGGCTTTATCTTAAATCTACTGTGTCAAAATGGAATAAATACTGAAAACCAAATGGCAGACTAAAAGCAAGATGCAGTGCCTTTGTTTCAGGAACAAATGCAGATTTATGTTTTATGGTTTCAGACAGAGAAGGTGTTCTGATATATTCTTGATGCTTTAATCCAAAATAAACTGCTGTCTTACAATGTTTTGTAATAAACTGCTGTCATAGGTGCCAAGGTGGGGAAAATCTAATGCATAATTTTTCTTAGAATGCTTGAAAGTCTGTTGTTAATAACGCTGTCTGTTATTCTCCAAAAATGACTTTTGACAAGCCTTGTAATGCTTTGCCCATTGTGGTTTTTCACTGTTGCAGCTGGTACTATAACAACTTGAGTCGGGGTGAGGCAGAAGACATGCTCATGCGAATTCCTCGGGATGGAGCCTTTCTCATTAGGAAGAGAGATGAACCTGATTCCTTTGCCATGACTTTCAGGTGAGAAAAGACAGATAGGACTACCTTACCTAGTAGCCCAACAATATTCTGGTTTTTCTTTTTTAAAAAATAATGATCTTTTTAGAGTCATGCTATTCTTGCTTTCAGACTTTGAATAATTAGTGTGGTTGATTTGTGCAGCAGGTCCATGTATGAGAGTGTGTGCAAGAGGTAATTTGTGACTTGCCTGAACCTTTATGCTTTTATAAAGATTGTCTGAGCACCAGCTGTCCTTTCTTGCCATACAGAACTATGGGTAGCCCTTCTTTCCTTCCCTGACACTCTTTGCTAAAGAGTGTTATTTTGAAGTTTCCTTCAAAACTGCAGTGCAGGTGCAGGTTCATCAATGATCCTAAGTCCTTATCCCCTAGAAATCCTGACCTGTCATAAAACTGGAATATCAGTGAAATTGTTGGCTCCTCTCGCCAGGGGAAATAGTTTTGAACAGTTTTGTGGTTATTGTAAAATCATTAATGAAATGTATAGAATTAAGGTGTTCTGCATCATGCCTTCAGATCAAATTGTGTTTCTCTGAAAATGCATAGTTTAGTAATAAATAAAGTTGCTTACTTACATGCCTTGTTGTGTATTGAAGATGTCCAAAATTCTCCAGTCTCCTAGTACTTTGTGGTGGAGTTTTCTGCTGCTACCAAGGTGGTAGTTGCAGCGTCTCAATAAAACCATTTCACACCAGGGAAAACAAGAAGTACCAAAACTTCAGCAGCTTAAAAAGGGTGTAGGGGTCTTTTTGCATGGGGTGGTTGTCAATGGATGGTTTTACTGCATTTATCAATGCAAACACAAACCTTGTGTTCAAACATGAGAAATTTTCTATTTCTTTAAAAACTGATTTCTGTAGCTATCAAAATGATTATAATACTCATAATAACTGAATAAAAGAGGCTTTGTTAGAGAGAGAAGTCATTTCACATGAGGAAGGTGCACGAAGCAGCAGTTCAGAGCCCTGGTGCTCTCCCTGTGAGCACTGGCACCTTTCCCAGCCGTGCCCTTGTTCTGCAGAGCGGAGGGGAAGGTGAAGCACTTCCGAATCCAGCAGGAGGGGCGGCACTTCGTGCTGGGAACCTCGGCCTACTTTGAGAGCTTGGTGGAGCTGGTCACCTACTACGAGAAGCACCCGCTGTACAGGAAGATGAAACTGCGCTACCCTGTGACAGAGGAGCTGCTGGAGCGCTACAGCACGGTACTGGGATGGACTGGGATGGGCTGGGATGGACTGGGATGGGCTCTGGCTCTGGTACAGGATCTCTGGGTGAGGTGAAGCAGGTCACTTTCTGTGAAATTGAGATGACTATACTGACTTCTCTCACAAAGGTGTGAAAAACAGCTTCGTCTTTTATTAAAAGCCAACTCTTGCCTTCCCCATGATTTGATTAGAGAAGCCCCACTGTGTACTCGGAGTCATTGCCCCACTAAAATGAGTTTTTGATAATAGCCTTGCCTACAGTTGGCTCTGTCTTCTATTGCTGAAGTGGGCATTGATCTTAAAATGATCACGCAGATGCCAATTCCCAAGTGCTTCAGAAAAAATGAAATATTCTGCTTTGCCTCTCACTCTGGATATTTCAGGGATGGTGTCTCACTGCCTTCTGTGGTAAAAGGTACCTCTGACAGCTCACTCTGAGAAAACCATGAGGAAATTTCTCCAGGAGACTTGTCTCCAGCCATTCACTAAACTAGGAGCCTGGATAATTAGCTGAGGATAAAGGGCCACTTTCTGGATGGATGAATTTCATTTTGAGGGAGCTTTGCTTTGGAAGGCCTGAGGTGCTGTCTTCACTTTTCAAGTATATGTCTTTTAGAAACTGCAGGAAACTACATCTGGCAAGTCTGAGGAAATCAAAACCTGAGGATTTTGTTTTTTCTGGGCAGACTAAAAAGATTTTAGACCTCAGGAATGTTTATAATGTTGCCTATAGCAAAGGTTCTTATCTTAGGACTGGGTTCAGATGGAATCATAAGAAGAGGATATGACTCTCTATATTGTTGTAGAATTATCTAATAGTGAAACCAATACTGGTACTAAAGTACTGTAACACAGAAATCATAAGTGCAGGTGTTTCTTCTTTGGCTATACATAGAAGAGTACTCACAATTAAAAAACATTTTGACTGATTAAGAGATACCTTTATGAGGTATTGCTGTTTCATTGGGTTTTACTGTCCATTAAACTGAGGCATAGACAGTTTAAATAACACACTCATCTTCAGTTATGTTCAAATATAGAAGTGAGCAAAACAGAGGTGTCTGGCTTCCCTTCTCTTCTGTTGGCCTATGTGCTGTCAAAGAGGTGGTTTCAGAAATAAATGTTCTATAAACATGAAGTAATTTTTTAACTTTTTGATTCCTGAAACTTGATTATTTTTTCTTTCCTGTTTTTAGGAAAAAGATATTAATTCCCTCTATGAAGTCAAGATGTATGTGGAGCCCAGTGAAATCACCCCCACAGTGGTATGCTTTAAGAGAGATATTCACACTTACTGTAGACTTCTGAAAATTAGAGTTGTTGGTTTCCTGTTGGCAATAGTAAAAAGAATTGAAAGCATCAGGCTGCTTGGGTTAGGAGGAACTGGACAACAGAAATGTAAAGGGTGTGACTTTTTTCTAGCTTCTTTTTAAAATTTGTACCTGCACATTTTCTTGTACACAAATCCTTTGGTGATTCTTTCAGACTGGGAATTTGGGCATTTTCTGCTCGTAGTCTGTGGAGGTGATTTGGTTTGGTGGGCCCCCAAATTAAATACCTGTGAGAGGGTTCAATTTGAAAAGGCCACATCTTCATGGAAAGAAAGCACAACATGAAAATTTCTGCATGTGTGGATATCTATTCACTCTTGTTCCTTTAGCAAACATGTTCTGCATGCACAAGTAATTGCAGTTTATTCACGTGCTTTCTATAAAAATTTGGTGCCTTTTTTCTATTAATGAGTTGTTAGGGTTTTTATCCTTGATATACTGTTTTAAAAATAAGTGTCCCAGCAAACATTACTTGTCTGTAATTCTTGCTAGTGCCTACCTACTTGTAAATTCTCATTAAAATCACCTACTTGTAAATTTTGAGACTGTAATTCTTTTTAGTCTTTTTGGCCAGTGAATTTGTATTGCTGCTGAAGCATTTGGGGTAGTAATAAATTCAAGATAAAGGTTTAGCTCATCCTGCTAAAACTGCATGTCTTCCCAAAGGAAATGTGACCAGCAGGATAGCTGATGTGGTTTTGAATTGGAGGTTTTGTAGGCACCTAAAAGCTCCAAATGATTATGAATATGTGCTATAAAAATAGAGGATTTATTTTTCACCTTTTTTTTTAATTTATTTTTTGGTTTTATATTTTTTACCTTAATTATGTTGCAGCACCCAAAAAAGATTTTCGTTTTTCTTTTTCCGTTTTTTCCCCAAGCTGATACTTGAGAAATACCAAAGTAGCATCACTTATTTCCACCAATAGATGTCACTCTGGAACTTCAGTATTTTGTTTTCTAAACTTCATAACGAAAACAACAACAACAAAAAATCTAATCCTCCATATTTTTTTTGTTTTAAGATTGCATTATTGATTATTTTATGACCTGTCCCCCCAGATGACCCCTTTGCTCTGTTTCTCTTAAAGCCTCAGAGAACAGTGAAAGCCTTGTATGACTACAAAGCCAAAAGGAGTGATGAATTGAGCTTCTCTCGAGGAGCTTTAATTCATAATGTCACAAAGGAAACTGGAGGCTGGTAAGGACAAAGATTCCGCCTGGGAGAACTTCTGGTGACTTACTAGATGAAGGGAAAAATGAGCTTTGAGGAGTAGTTTTTAAAAACTGCCTATTGGCTGATTGCTGCTTATTAACTGTGCCCTTATAAATCTTTATGCCCGTGTATTAAAAAAAGTCCCAAACAAAAAGTCCCCTCATCTTCAATTCTCCTTTCACATCTTTCATTTTTCTATCCCACAGCAATAACCTTAGCCTGCAGAACCTCCAGAGCCTGGTATACCCCATATTTTTCCTGTACTACATCCATCCTTCCTGAACATTGGTGTGTTCTGGGAAGTCATTGCAATCATTGCTCTACTTCTGTCCTTGCTCTGCTAAGCATTTGTCAGGAATCAAACCCACCTTTTTTAGTGCTCTGTACAGTCTCCTTTCATAACAGGTTTTCTTTTTTAGCTGGCTTGTAAATTGCTTGGAAAGCTTGGGATTCTAATGTTTCCCTGTAGTTTCTACAGGGTAATCAACCACATAATAGTATTTTTAGTACTGGAGGGGGAAAAAGCCTCTTAAGTCATTAATTGCAGTTTACAGTAACTGTAATCCCTCTGAAATCATCTGTTACTACAGTTAATGATCACTTTGTTAGAGCTCTTAGCTACTTCATCATTTATATTTTTGGTGATAGCCAGCTAGGCAATCTAGTATGGGGTATTAATGACCAATTTCTTGGGGATTATTGCTTCATTAATGGCCTTTTGAAGCTCTTTAACTTTGTTTTTCATTCTCTCTACTTTTTTGTTTAAATTCAGGTGGAAGGGCGATTATGGAGAGAAAGTCCAACATTATTTTCCATCTAATTATGTTGAAGATCTGTCATCTGATAACTCTGCTGAGCTTGAAAATCAGGTGAGGGTTATAGTTTGTCTGCTACATTTCCTTGGCTACCTACTGGAAGTCTGGTTTATACACTCACAATTCCATGTGCTGTGTTTGAGAGAGCAGAACAGAGGAATGAATGCATTCTTCATCGTTCTCTGCTGCTGAATATTTTTGTTAGGACATCCCTTGCTGAAAGCTGTTTAAGGAGACAGAATATCTTGAGTTGGAAGGGACCCCCCACGTATTTATGATTTTATGATAGCTGAATTAGTGAGGTTTAAGAGGATTCTGGTTATTTCCTGCTAAACATAATCATAAACAGCTTAGATTTTTCATAGTTTGGCTAAACAATAACATGCCTGAAATTTTTCAGTTTTCCTGTATAATCACTGTCTTAATATTTGCAAATAGGAAAATTATATGTCCAAACACACCTTACTAGTCATTTTACTCTTCATTATCATGTTTTTATGCATATACCAATCCTGTTTGTCAAAAGAATATTAAAAATCTGGTCCCATGTCTTGGACAAAGAGCTCTTGAACAAAAGAAGACAGAACAGAAGAGTAATAAGTTTTGACATTTTTGAATTTCAAAAATAAAATATTGAATTCTTTTGTTCTTCTGAAGCACTTCCAATGATTTTCCAGAGGTCTTTGGAGAAAACCACAAGTATTACATTTCCTCTCTCCTGGTTATTGTAACCTTAAGCAGACTTGAAAATGAACAGTTATGTCAAGACAGAAGCTACTACAAAGTAGTCTTGTTTTGACTGCTCTCACTGAGGAGATCCTTGTGTGTTTTTTAGATATGAAAACAGGCTTTGCAAACATTACAGTGAGCATGCTTTCAGTAAAGCTAAGATTAGATTTAATGGTGTACATTTATTATTTGTTAATGTCCTGTGCATGTTCACTCAAGAGCTTTAGGGTCAGATTTAACTCATGTTTTTCAGATCATTGAGGACAACCCACTGGGCTCTCTGTGTCGTGGCATCCTGGTGCTCAATACGTACAACGTTGGTGTGTATTTTCTGATGCTTATATATGGACTTCTGACCTTTCTCTATTGAGTAGACTCTTTTATGTTTAGCAGGAGAGATTTAAAAAAAAAACAAACCCCTCAAACATCTCCTTGTATTAGTATAGCTAGCAGAATTAATATGTTGAAACTTCATAATATTAAATGCTGCAATAAATCAACAATGACACCTTAGAAAAAGAGCTGTTGGATTTCAGTATAAATTTCTTGCTATGGTATTACCTAACAGTGAAAATGCCACAAGGAAAACACAAAAAGCCTTTTGTCTTCATTCTGGAACCTAAGAATCCAGAAGATCCGTGTGTTGAGTTTGCAACTGATAAAGTAGAAGAACTCTTTGAATGGTACCAAAGTATCCGTGAGATCACTTGGAAAACAGCAGAAGAGGTATTGCTGCAAATTTATCTCTTGTTTTAATAATGTACTGCTATAAATTTACAATAGCTTTTGTCTTCAGCTGCCCTATACTGCTAAATGTTGCTCTCACATGGCCCTTCACCCTCTTGCATATTGCTGTTTGTTCATTTTATTGATGCTGTGCATCTTGTTCCATAACCTCTCAGGAGAATAATAGTACATGAATTAGCATTTTATGCAAATTGATGTTAACAGGAGTTTTCTAGCAGAGTACTGTCTGTGTTGCACCCTGCCCCTCAGTGAAGTGTGCTTGGTCGACCAGAGTGGATATCACTACAATTTTCCATCTGGTCACACTGGTTCATCCCAGTGTTAAGCAGCAGAAGCTCTGATATCAGGCTGTTCTTTTCAGAGCTGTGAATCCACCAGTGAGGATGTGTGAAATCTGAGCTGCCATTCCCTAAACTCTTCTTATCCTCTTTACTAACTCTGTTTTCCAGTGGGCACTGGTAGAGGATTGTTTGGCTAATACTTTATTTGTAACTAATAACCACATTCTGGACTTCCCAGTTCTTCACTAGTAGTATTTCCAAATACTTGTCTAAAGATTCAAGAATTCTGCCTAAGTTTAAGCTTGCTATGTCCCTCTACTTCCACTTAAAGACATTCTTCAGGACTTGCTTTTCCTGTTCTGATGTACTAATTTACCTCCCTGTAATCTTTTCTAGTATTTAAGAAGACCTTACTTTTGTCCTTACAAAGTAAGGACAAAAAGTCCTTACTTTGGCTGTGCTTAAGGATACTCTTTTCTTTTGTTGCTTTTATTCGCCTTTTATTGTTAAGTGCGTGATATGGTTGATGGGAAATGTGTTTCAGTATCATGTTAGTCATGCTGTTTATCTGTCATATGGAGTGGAAGTGCTCTGAGGGTTGTCCTGATCCTATTTATAGCAGACAAGTTGATGTCTCAAGCAGAGGACTGTAAATACAGCAAGGGGAGAAGCAACAGGAGCTGTTGACCTATTGTTGGGGGAGGAGAGATACAGTTCTTGTGCCAAGCTTTCATTTAGAAGTAAAAATGAGAAAAAGAGAAACGTGACCTAGAAGAAGTGTCTCCAAATTGAATGTTTTTATGTTACAACAATGACTCTTCAGGAGCCTGGCAGCTTTTTCTCTCTCTGTACAGTTGGAGAAGTATTAAACAGTCTGTGTTCAAAGATGCTTTAAAACTCATTTCTGCCAGCTGGGAGGCTTTTCTCACAGTGTGGCCTCTACAAAGTTCACATGATAGACTGACTGCTGCATGGGGAGGGGATGAAGATGAGGAAAGGCCCTTGTTGCCAGTACAGTTAACAGGCTGAATTTTGGGGAAGGAAAAACCACTGTGAGTTAAGACTGTACTGCAGTGTGATACAGGGGGATTTTGTAGATAAGTTTGCTTTTGGGCAATGTCTGTTATGCACAAAAAATGCAACTAAGCTTCATGTCTCTTGTAATCTCTACTCAGTACTGACACTTGCCATGCTCCCTGGGGTGGCTGTTCTTTGCTCTCCTGCTTGGTTATCTCTAGAGGCTTCTGGCTAGAAATGAGCCCATGCCACCAAAAAGTGATCTTTTGCTGCTCAGAGCTCTGGTTACTGTTGAGCAATGTCTGGGAACTGTGGTGGATCACTAAGTACAATGAGGTTTGTACAGCTTTTTCTCAAGGTTATTTCCAAGTCTAGACATTGTATTCCTCTTTGTTTTTCTTAGAATTCAAGGTATAATCTCTGGTTCAGTGAGATATTCTGGAAACCTGTGTCTCCCTAGTTCTGATTTTCATTCCTTTTGTGTTTGTCTTGTTGAGGGAATTCTTTTGGAAGGCTTCCTGATTGCTTCTGCTTCATGATCTTTTGTGCCAAAGCTAATCACTGTTCAGTATGGGACTCTTCTAACTTGTTTTATCCTGTAGCTGCTTCTTATGCCTGAAAAGCCTCCAGCCCAAATGTCTCCACTCAGGACACGTCTTGCTGCTTTTAGCAGTTCCCAGTCTCTGCTGGCAGGGAACACTGCTCAGCTTCCACAGAGCAGGTGCTTGCAAATGTGGAAGTAGAGAGAGTGGGTTTGGTACTGGGGATTTCAGCAAGATTGCACATGATTTTCCATACAGAACATGATGAGTTTGGTGCACAAATAGGAGAAGACATAGGAATGATGCTCAGAGGGTTTGAATTTCACTGTTTGGGAGTTGCTAACAAGACTTAAGTTCTGCCAAGGATTATAAATAGATACAGAAACACTTTACTACCCTTTGCATTTTTTCTGCATACATTTGCATTTATATGAAGTATGGGGTTAAGAATGTAACTAAAATTGAGTTGAGTAGAGCCACATTAAAAGAAAAATGTTGCCAGGATTCTGAGCATGACTGATCAGGGAAGAGCTGAAACCCTTGCATATAAAACAACACTTTTCATCCCAACAAAAAAGCTTCCTAAATCTATATCCCCAACTAAACCTCACCATTTTTTTATTACCTGTTCTCTGAGCTGGGTCTGAAAGTGCATTACTTCTGTGCAGGTGTATAAGGTATCAGATAGGAATCTGGGCACCAAAGAAGGCATTCATTAGAGTGCACCCTGCAGCTACTGTGCCATAATACTCAGTGTTCCTATAATCTGAGACTTTTTAATGTTTTCCAGGAGACCAGGAGGAAATACTGGGAAAAGAATCAGTTAATTGCTATTGAATTATCTGATCTAGTAATCTACTGCAAGCCAACAAGCAAAACCAAGGACAATTTAGGTATTACCTTTAATATTACATCTGATTTTTACCCTTTCTGCTATCTTTACAGATGTTATTTGGGATTTTAGGTCTGATGATAAAATCTGTCCTACTGGAAACAAAGTTCTGCTTCACCCAGGCAGTTTTCAATAGCACTTTGAAATTGTACACTGGGGAACTTGGTGCTGTTCATCTATGACAAAAGAACTGTCACCAATTTTAATTAGTTAACTAGAGACACCCTCTCAGATGTATATTCCATGGGGAAGCTCTCTAGTTATGTGTCAATTGACTTTTTTGAAATTAAAAACTCTGCCTGAACACTTGTGATTTGTTTGTAAAAAACCTTCTTAAATAGGTTTACTGTGCATTTTTAAATTTTACTGTAAGAACATGTTTGCCAGGACTAAGCTGTTGGAATGATGTATGGCTTCATAATATAACTGGGCCTGTGTAAGTGCAACTGTGGCTTCTGACACTGAAATATGTACTTTTTATTCCAGTTTTTTGTCATTGCTGCTGGAGAAGCCAGCAAATGTGCCCTTTTTCTTTAAGTTTCTTTGCAAATGTTTTTAATAAGCTGTCAGTGCATTTAAGACATTATAATTATAGTTATTTTTTGAGGCATTGGCTAACCCTGGCTCACCCTTTCTTCTCCCCATTTAGACCCAGGAAAAGATGTCTCATTTAAATATGTGTTATAGTGATCAGAAGTACATTATTAGCAATGATGAGATGAGAACATGACTGCAGGCTCTTATCTGCCCTTCTGAAAGGCATGTGGCAGAAAGGCAATTTTAACTTTCAGGCTTGATTTTCAACCACTTTGCCATGTCTGCCTGAAAATTGTGCCAATTATTTCATTAAAGGACAAGGCAAACCAAAGTAAAACTAAGTGTTGGTGAAAATACAGTATAAATGTCAACTACTTTCTTCCTTTGGCAATCACTCTTCTTCCTCCTACCCCTGTGTAGACAATCCTGATTTCAGAGAAATCCGTTCTTTTGTGGAAAACAAGGCAGAGAGCATTGTTAAGCAAAAGCCACTGGAGTTGTTGAAGTACAACCTGAAGGGCCTGACCCGTGTCTATCCCAAAGGACAGAGGGTTGACTCATCCAACTATGACCCATTTCGCCTCTGGCTTTGTGGCTCCCAGATGGTGGCTCTGAACTTCCAAACTCCAGGTAATTTTCCCTTTGAAAAAGAATCGAATCCACCTTCTGTTACACTGTAAATGAGCCCCTTTATGGCCCTTCTAATCACCATCCTAATTATTTGAACTTCTCTGCAAGAAGCTGTGTTTGAAGTTTGCTTTTTAATGTGTCCAAAAGCTCTGTCTCTGAGCCTAACTGCCCCCAAACCCTAAAAGATTTGTTTCACCTTGATCTCTTTGTGGTAGGCAAACAGAGATATTTACAGTGAGTTTCAGATGGATGGATGGGTGTGCAGCCACAGGGAAGGCTGTATCCCATTTCCTGGTGAGGGCCAGCTAGTTTGTGATACACTGATAGGAAGCTAATTGGGGATGGAGATGGGCTTTTTTGGGATTAGAATTGATGAAAAATGGCCTGTCAGATTCAGTTACTGAAGGAATGGAGTCTCCCACCTTTCCAACTCTTTCTGATCAAGTGGTGACCAGAAAGAATTGCAGAGGAGCCATTAATCTGGTATTTCCTTAGCTTTATTCCAGGAAATCTCGTTGTGACTGTTTAACTCTCTCCCCAGATAAATACATGCAATTGAACCATGCCTTGTTTTCCCTGAATGGACGCACTGGCTACGTGCTGCAGCCAGAGAGCATGAGAAATGAGGAGTATGACCCAATGCCAAATGACTCCAAGAGGAAATTGCAGATGATTATGACAGTGAGGGTAAGCCTCTTTTGTAAATTGTTTTTTTTCTTTACAAGTCATAAATATCTATAAAACTAAAAATAAAGCTATTATGTTTCAGAGCAAGATCTGACAGATTGTCAAAATACTGTTTTTAAATGTCAGTGTGTGTGAGAATGAAACTAACTTCACTGGTTCCTCAAAAGAAATACATGTCTTTATCTTGCTGATGAAAAACATGCTGTAGGACTGAAAACACAATCCTGGGATGATTTTGTGTAATTGCTAATAAATACTAAAAGTCAAATGAACTAACTTGAATTTCCAGTCAAATGGGCTCTTAGTAGAAGGGTCCTATTGAAGATTGATTAGCAGCAGACTAACTAGTTCAGGGATTTTGAGTGTGAAAGAAAGATATTTGTAATGAAATATAGAAACTAAACAGAAAACCTTATAAGCTGATCCCCTACCTCATGTTTAATACACTATGACTTAATCTGAATGTCATTCTCATTTTTCTTCAAGAGATGAGTTTATTATTGGAAAATGTTGCCATCTTGACTGGGTGCCAAACAGGGCTGAACTTGTTTCTGTTTTTGCTATGCAGTAAGACAGGTTCTTTAAAAGTATGTTTTCTGAGAAAGAAGAAACACATTAATTACTCTGCACTACAGTTTAAAGGTGAGGTAAACAAGGTCTGTGAATACAAAGCAGAAATGTCTTGAAATGGGTATGGAATAAACACAGAAGAAAGATAACAAAACTTGTGCTACAGGCCTGGCCTAGAGCTGCACACTGTGTGTAATGAATGCCAGCTACACTGTCTTTTTTTTTTTCTTACAATGAAAATCATTGAATTATCCAGACTATGGAAGGTATTGTTATTGGTGCCACAGATAATACATGCAAACATATTCAAGAGAGAGATTGTGTGTTTTTCCATGCTCTGGATTTTTTCCCCCCTCTAGTTCTGTAGGCTACCTTCTGTTCAGCAACAATGATGCCAAGTTTCCTTTGGAGGTGGTTCTAATTTACAGTTGCTTTTGCAGGTTTTAGGTGCTCGACATCTCCCTAAACTTGGTAGAAGCATCACCTGTCCCTTTGTAGAGGTTGAAATTTGTGGGACTGAATATGATAACAACAAATTCAAGACAACAGTTGTGAGTGAGTATCTGTGGGTTTCTGTATTGCAGGGATATGGTTCTACTTCCAGGGTACTTAACTAAAGTGAGCAGAGGATGAACATTATAGGGGGAAAAAGTTAACTGTAGCATTGGACTGATCAGTCACAGTCTTGTTCTTTTGCTTAACTTAGAGCTTGCTAGTTTGAGGAACTTCAGGGTACATCAAATTTAGAAAAAACAGTACTGTTGTGGTTTGGGAAAAAACGAGTCCCGTTTTTTTATGTTGTTGCCCATGCATAAGTTTGTGTATTTGCATATTTTAAACAATTACTGCCTTGGGAGTGTCTCCAACTGTGCTAGTCAGTTCCCAAAAGTCTGGCCTAAATGAGGAGTTACTACTGTGAGCTCCAGACTGTGTTTATTTAAACTGGGTTCTGAGACTGGCACCCCCTTGGAGGCAGCTTGGATGTATAGGGCTGTATAATAGTTTAACTTGAAATGCATTAGAAGTTTGATCAAAGCTTTGTCCTGGGGAGTTCTGGATAAGGAATGTGTTTGTGTGTGCATGAACTTCAGTGTGCTGAAATATTCAACCACTTCATATTTAACCACTTAGTATTTCTGGATGCAACACTATTCCTCTGGTAAAAATCAGGCTTTGGTTCTGATTATCTAAAGCAGTAATACCAGTGGAAAATAAACACAGCATCAGGAGCAGAATGTGTATTATGACTCCTCAATACTTCAGAGTTTTCATAATTAAACTTTCTGTGGGAAGTGACCAAGACTTTTGAGAGCAAACTTCCTGGCTATGTCACATATACCAAATCTCGGTGTTCTGTACATAACTACAAAAATTGGACCAAGGTACATGAGTCTTCCTCGTGCTTTTCCTGCTTTCTCTTGGATATGGAGCATGAGACTTATAAGAAATTAATTACCTTTCTTTTTTGCTTTACAAATAAGTGTCCAAGGAGGTTTGATATGTTTGAATACAAATAATTGCTTTTCTTCATTCATTTTCATCCCTGCCAAATTTCCTCCCACCCCCACCGCCAAGTAAACAAATACAAACTTGCTGAAGCAAGGTTACAACATGAGACAGATGGTAAATAGGATTTTTGGGCTTCTGTATCCCTAGAAAATGTCCTGGGATACATACTCATATGTGAGTGAAGTGAAATTATTGCTTCATACTGCAAATGTTTCCTTTTCATTACAGATGACAATGGCCTTAATCCAATTTGGGCACCTAATGCAGAGCAAGTGAAATTTGAAATTTACGACCCAAATCTGGCATTCCTGCGCTTTGTTGTTTATGAGGAGGATATATTCAGTGATCCCAACTTCTTAGCACATGCCACTTTTCCCATCAAAGGAATCAAATCAGGTGAGATCAGCAGTTATAATGAGCATTCCTGACTGTGCCTTCCTCTCTAATGCCAGACTCCCTCCTGCCTCAGTGAAGCTCCTTCCTCTGGTTTAGTTTTCAAGAGCATGTGAAATCTCAATTTTGCCTGTCTTGCCTTTTGCTTCTCTGCAGTTGCCACAGTAGAGCCTGCTCTCTGCACAGGAGCATTTGAGCACTGAAGAATGTTCAAAGTGTTCATTTCTGTGACTGCGAATTCCCCCTCGATGGACTCTAATTGCCCTTTGTTTTCCTTCCCCCTGCCCCAGGTTTTAGGTCAATTCCTCTCAAGAATGGCTACAGTGAAGATATAGAGCTGGCCTCGCTTCTGGTGCACTGTGAGATGCAACAAGTTCTGGTGAGAAGCACTGGGGTTTGTTGTGTGCACTTAGTGTGTCTGTTAGCAGTTCCTTGTGGAAACCAGGAAATGAAGATTCAGATTTCTGTTCTGTGTCTGATGTGCTGTTGTCAGGCATTCCTTCTGCAGGTACTGGGGAAGACAAATAGCACAAATTGAGTTACTCTCCCTCTGGGTGGACAGATTACACGGTTGTTAAAAGAAATAATGCACAAACAAAGCCTCATTGCCTCCAATAGTTTTTGCTGTAACAGCATGGTCGTTGTCTTTCCTTGTTAACTGACTGATGCCATGCAAAGCTAGCTAAAATCAGCTTTGGCTTCATAGATTAATCTCTTTTTTTAAAGGTCCTACATAAAAAGAAATCACTTGAGCAATAGAAGATAGTAATTTCTCCCAGTATTTCATTAAAATAAACAACCCATCAAGTAGAAGACTTATCTGGTTCTTAAAGAACTGCTAATCTGCTCCTTTTAAGCCTCTCTAAACACCTACTTGAAATACTAGTATTTTAAAACACATAGGGGAAAAATTATGATGCTCATGAATCCAGGCATTAAAGCAGCTGATCTATGAACAGTGTTTGTTGGTGTTCCAAGGGTGCTGCTGCATGTGTTGATTTGTAGGGTATTTCTCGGACTCTTTCTCAATAATATATTACATAATTTCAATACACATGTGATATGATGAAAGTTTAAAGATGCTTCTGCGAAGTGGCTGTTTCAGGGTGCTTTCCAGCACCCTTCTGATTCTGAGAAAAAAAAAAAAGTTCTTATTTGTAGTCTGTCAACTCTTTCAGGCCCACGCTGAACTTCACACCTGTTACATTATTTTTCTGATTGAAACATCAACTCCTGTGAACTCTTTAAGTCATTATGTCTCTGGAGGGATTTGTGCCTGCAGTTGCATACACTGAACTGGGGATTTCTGAATTCAGTCACATTGTTCTTCCCAAAGGAGTGGAAGCCTTTTTCAAACATCCTTTGTGGAGGTTTTTACGAAGCCACCTTATAACACCTGATGTAAAATGACAGTGTGTGCAATGACAGTGTTTGAAAGCTGTGATAGATTCCTGTAAGTTCCTTCTGTGGGCCAGCCAAGGGTTCTGAGAGCAGGAGAGGATTAGAAGCTGAGGCCAGGGATATGTGTGTGGAGACCTATATCCTTTCAAGATAATATTTAAACTGTTCATATTTCATGGACTCAAGTTTCATAAGGAAGGCCTCATAAACTGCTGGTCATATGGGCTTGCTGCCTTTGACAAAACTGGCAAAGTCACCCTTGCCTAATGCTGAGCATGGACACCACTTGTGGATACATTGCAAATCCCCCCTGCCTTGGTTTCCCTTCAGGAATCCAGATCATTATTTGCCTGGGGCAGGAGCAGCTCTCTAAGTGTTGTTCATAGCAGCAGTCTGTCCCCCAATCTGTCAGCACTGACTCCTTTGACAGCAGCACATTGCACGCTCTAATCCCCTTCTGCTTGTTAAGCCAAATGAAGCTGCAGCTCAGCTCGGTGTTTTTACAATGCCTGCTGGTAATGCAGTGGCAGGACAACTTCCAAAAACTTCCTTTTTTTTGGCAGCCTGCAACAAACCCAGATCCACCACAGTTGTCAACTCTAGAACTTTTGCCCAGTCATTCAAGAAGCATCAGAAGAGATTAAGGCTGCCTCTCTTCCTCTGCTTCTTTTTAAAAAGTGATGGCCTTCCATAAAATAATACCATTTATTAACAGCCTGTTTATATACAGAGTCTATCTGCATGTGCTTGGAGATGAAATATAAAATTATAGTGTGGAATTACAGATGGCTGTGGAGTTTATCAGAAATGGTAACACAAGAATATATTGTAGACATAAGCGTGCACATTTGTGAATTATTATGTGGGGCCTTACGTAGTTCCTGTACAACTTAAACAGGTTTTTTGATATTGTAGGTATCATACTATACTGAGGTGGTTGTTGCACTTAAAAGCAGCATGTCTTATTTGCCTGAAAATTGATTTACTTCCTTCAGAAAGTGCATGTATTTCTTCAGCTTTGTCTGACTACAGTCAGCCTCAATGATATATATGTTCCTGACTAAAAGATTGAACTGGACATCTTAAAATACAGTTTAAGCTGTATCTTTGTGGATACATTTATTTACAAGAACTAACAGTGGTACATATGCATCTTGAGGATTACACCTGCAAACTGGTAATTAGCAGTCTGCATTTCCTTTGTGATTTGGGAATACAAAGTTTACTACCCCTTTACAAACAAAAATTAAATAAATTACTCTTTAAATCTTAATCAGTAGCATAGCACTGAGGCTGTTTCAGTTGCTGCAACCCATGCCTGCATAGAATGTGTTTCAGGAGGAAAAAGGGTTTAGGAAAGGATCTTGTTGCTGTAACTGAAACCCCTTGGGCATGTTGCTAAGCTAGCAATTTTCCTAGATCTGGACTGAATGCAGAAAGAGGCATTCTTATTAGTATGCTGCCTCTGAAAATGTTTGGATTTATTACATTTATTGATTGCATGTCATTTCTTGTAGAAGGAGTATCTTGTTTTGCTGCTGATGTGAAAATTAAGACTTCAGTCCTGCCAGTTCTATTCCCCACTAGTAACTCTATAAAGAGGCAGCTTCTGCATCCAGATTTTTCAAGTATTAAAATAATTTGAAGTCCTAAAAGGATCAATGATGATTGTTTATGGTCGTGGAATATTTTGAGACCTTCTACTGTGTGCCACAGTAGAAACTCAGCCCTACTCAGTTCCTTTGCAATACTGAATTGCCATAGTTACACAGAAATACAGGATCTGTCCTTCCTTCTTGACCATCTGAGTACTTGCTGCTGTAAGGGCTCCTATTTACCAGTCAGTATTTTGACCTTTAGTCTGTATTTCAATAGAAAATCCCCAGGATTGTCACTTTGTTACATGACACACAAATATGATGATACACAAATATGATCTAAACATTTTAAAAATGTGTTTTTATTATTATTATAATCTGATACACCATCATGACACACTAGTTCCTGTTCTTTCCTCAAGAGACTAGCACTCTCTATTAGGGAAAAATATTACACTAGAAGTGTTTAAATACACAAATTTTGCAACTTGTGCTGGAATGTCCCTCATGCCCCTGTCAGAGGGTATGGCTGGTCATACTGTGAGCTGAGGAGGTTTTTTTTTAATGCTTTCTAAGTTAGTTTGTTTCCAGAAACATTACAGGAACATCCTACCAAACTAATTTTATAAAACATTCCATGCAGTTATTAAAATGTGATTAGGAAAAACAAACTGATCCCCCAAACTCTGTTGATTCGGTGTCATTTGGGGAATTTTTTTCACCAAGTTACCTTATTTCCAATATTCTCTTGAAGGAAAGTGAAGAAGAGCTTTATTCCTCGTGTCGGCAACTTCGCAAGCGCCAGGAGGAGCTGAATACCCAGCTGTTCCTCTATGACTCCCACATGAACCTAAGGAATCCCAACAGGGATGCTATACTGAAAGAATTCAATGTCAATGAGCACAAACTACAGATTTATCAAGAGACTTGCAACCGCAGGTGGGTTGATGATCATTCTCCTTTCCAAGGCAGCTCTGTCTAGACAGGATTTATGGTAAGGAAACCTCAGATATATCAAAGGGAACATCTAAAGAGTGGTGAGGGTAGAATGAGCTCATCTGCAATGAGGAAGGGCTGTAGAGAAGCCAGGCTGGGCCTCAAGCCACTAGAGGCCAGCAGAAGCTGAGGAATTTGTGCTCAGTGAAATCTCAGTGACACTTGTAATCCTGTCAGGTTTTGTATCCCTCTCTGCTGCTTTCCGTGAGGAAAGGCTGGAAGTATACACAGACAAATAAATAAACCTCTTCACTCTTGCTACACTATCAGAGTTATGTCTCTGGAAATGTCATGCACATATGAGATATGTGGGAACAGATACATAAACCACAAAAGATAAAACCAGTATTGAGTTGTAGCAGCACAGCTTTGTCAGTTCAGTGTCAGTGCATTATCCAGAGCTTAGGGGAAGGTTCCTTCTCCTTTGCTGCCACCTTTGGGCTGGGTGTGAGTGAGATAGAGAGAGGCTTTATATACCAAGAGGAAGTTTTGAGTAGATCTCACGATTTTAAATATTATTGCCTTTTTTTGTGTGTGCTGAACAGCTTCATGAATTACTTGTTTACTCCCATTTATTGAGGGAAAAAAATTGCAATGCTCATTGCTGATACATTGCTTGCCATTGGTATCCAAGTACAATGAATTTGGTAGACTGTTTTCCTCTGAGAAATTCCTTTTAGGCTTGACTTTTTCCTTTTCTTTTCCCTTAAGATTAAAGGAGAAGAAAGTCAGTAACAGCAAATTCTACTCTTAGAGCCCATCATTCTTTGATGTGTGCTTTATGGTGCAATTCAGGAAGAGATGGATTTATCCTGGTCATCCTACTCAGTGATGGTCTCATCAGATGGAATGACTGGACGAAGAGAAGGAAGAGGAAATATGGATTCCCTTTATAATTTCTTCTTTTAAGAAAAACTGTTTTAATACCTGATAATTTATATTCTGTACAAAGCATACCCTCTGTGCAGGCCAGAACTTCTGTGTATTCAAGATGTTTAAAACTTGAGGATGTGTGAGTTGCATGGACCTCACTTCTCATTATCAATACCTGAAGTACAAATCATGTGTGTACACGGGCTGTAGATAACACAAAAATTTGTATGCATGGAATCACACCACTTGAACAACCTGGCTCCTCAAGATTAACCAGTAGTGAATTTTTAATTTATTAAATGCTGTAAAAGCACTTCTACACCAGCATTGTCAAGTCATGTATGTTACAGTCTTGGAGACAGCAGATTGTGCTGCTGATGCTGTATAAAATATTTTGGGCAGCTATTGTCTCTTATTAAAAATTTTCTGTTACATTTTTAAGAGCAAGATAATATGTTAATTTTGTTGAAAGCAAATACCCTCTGTGACTGTAGTTGTGTTTTTCCTGTTGAACTCTCTTTAAAGGTTTAAGAAAGGAGCAATGTGTGAACCTCTATTCATAACCCTTGTGAACTTCTGTTCACAGCCTCGAGGCACTGGAAGGAAAAGTTTTAAGATATGCAGTAGGAGATATCTGTTTGTTTGTAGAAAGGGAAGGTATTTAAAATTCTGAGAAGCACTTACTCTTGTACAGTATCATTTCTGCAAATCCTTTCAGCTGCTAATGTGCTTAGAAATGAATTTTTAAATGAACTGTCAATTTTTAATCTTGCAATCCTACATAGACGATAGTCAAATGATGGTGTTCTGTGAATGTAGACCATTTTCCCAAAACGTAACTAATCCAAGAATGATAGTGTGCACAAATATAGAGGTGCATCCTTTTGGTGCCTTTAATCAAATCAAGAACATGAAGCTGCAGATGAGAATACTTGTTAGATTAGCAAGTGTATTTTCCTGCCAGAGCAGAACTAAAGGCCTTTGATGGAATATTTAACAGCAGTTGTCACAATTTGTGTATGTGTTGGTCCTTTGTGCTAGTGCTGTATTGTTACCATCAAATTCCTGGTTGTCTTAGCTCTACATGGGATGAGGTTTGCTATCTATATTCCCAATTTTAACATTCAAATGTGTGCAGAGGAGTTTCGTTTTTGGAGTGACTGCCTGAGGCACAAAATGCTGCTTCCACAGAGCTGTACTTCTGATCACAGAGGACTTGCAGGATTTGGGATTCATGGCCTGATGCAGCTGCCTCAGCAATTTTCAATTTCTCTTGCTCCCCATGCTGCAACTTCTGTTGTTTCAAGAGGTGCTTAATTGATGCCATTGTGCATTCACAGATGATGGTTTGAGGAACCCCCTTGAGGTTTTAGCTATTCTGTAAAGACAGTCTTGTCTCAGAGATGAAAGTGTTATAATTGTGTATCCCACAATGGGGTGGCTTCTGTAAATTTTTTATTATAAAGAAATTAATTACTAATCACCCAACTAAAAAACAGAGAAAAGTTAAAGGCAATTCTCTGCTTTTCATCCTCCTTCCTGAAATCTCTTCAGTACCCAGCTGTGATTGACCTGTTCAAGATGGGTGTAAATCCTGCTCAAACAAACAAACAAACAAGTCACATCAACTGTGGATTTGGGAGGTGGAGCTGTAAGCTAGACTGCTGTATAAAGTTAGTTTTATCTTCATTATCCAGGTCTGGATTGTTCTGCCTATCAGGATTCTTTTTAAGCTCAGTTGCAGAGCAGACCCAACCAAACTGTCCATTTGTCCTGGCTTCCTCCATTGGTGTGTGTATTCCTGACACAGCACAGCCACTGTGTGATGGACACAGGAGTGAGTCCTTCATGCTGCTCTTGTGCAAATATTTAAGAATTAGCTCATTTTGTAGTCCTTTGTAAAGTCCTGTGCACAATCTCCACTCACACATAACATCAGGAGTTACAAGAGGCACTCCATCAGTATTTATGCAAATGCATTTTGTTTTACAGTAAGGCTTTTCCCCAGACTATGATGTTACACTGTGCAGAATGAAAATACTGCAGTGACTCTTCTGCTGACTGCAAGTGGTGGCCAAGGCTATGTTCTAACTCTTCTCTTGATTCTTGAATTCTGTGTTTTATCTCCAAGACCTCAACTCTCAGTTCTTCCTTGGGGCAGACTCTGTAGAAACTTTATCACAGTTGCAACTGTTTGAGTATGAAAGTAGGTTTGAATGTGTGTGCCAATTTTTTTAATCCAGGAGGGAAACATTTATAAATTTTTGAAGTTAACGATTGTTAAATTGTTATATTCTTATATAAAATGTTTTAAATCATTGAAATAACTTATTTTAATAAATAATTTTTGATATCTCACATTGATGGGAATGATGCCAGGTGCTTCTTTGTTTAAGCATTGCTCATTGAATTTTATGACTTTTGCCAGTCATTTGAAGCAGTGAGTTCTTACTGAAAAGTGATCTGCTGGTGTGGTATGGTGTGCTGTGCTAGAGGTTGGAAGAAGGGCATTTCTGTGTTTTTAAGATGAACTGACTCAATGATTGTTTCAGGAGACATGGTTATCATTGCACTTCCTCTGGCTCCAAACACACGAGGCAGAAGAAAAGGTCAAAGATCGAGTTTAACTTGAGACTCCAAACCAACCTTTTTCAGTGAGAGGCAGATATAAACTCCAGCTCTAGTGAGAGTCAGATTTGTATGAGCTTGAACAATAAAATCTGAGTAAGGCAAAGATTAAATTTGTGGAAATTTGGAAGAACAATAATATTGGTGTTTATCAAAACATTTTCTCAGAACACTTTCTGCCTGTGAGGTTGCACGGGGAGAACTGCTGCTGGATGAATGCACTCTGTCTTTATGTGATTTTTTTTAATTGTTGGGAGTCTTGGGAACACATTTTTTTTCATCTTTTGATCAAAATTACATGCTTATTGAACATGAGGTGTCTGCAGCCTAATTCTTCTAGAAGGTCATTAAATCAGCCAGAGTCTTTATCACCTTAGTGAGTATTGGTATGCATGAGTTCTGGAGTGCAAAAAATTACTACATTTAGGTGTTCTGTTGCCTTTTGTCACTGTTTTCCACTCCAACATATCTATATATTTCTCTGTTGAAAGCATTTTGTTAGTTCTGCAGTTCTTTAACCTCGGAGATGTGAGATGGTGTGAGCTGTGTACTAGCCATTATCTTTGAATTCTCCAAACCAGTTGGAAAAATCTGAATGTGGTGTGGAAGCTGAAGTGCAGTGGTTGGATTCTGCTACAGTCATATGTCAGCATTTTTAACTGCAGTCCAGCTAGTTGGCTTTGTTCCAGACTGAAATTCCCTTTCTATCATGAGAAACAGAAGTTAAATATAATAAAAATTAACCTTCTGAATCAGTTCAGAGACGAATTTATCTTCTGATCCATAACAGTATTTGTAAAAAGGCTTAGCTATTAGTTTTAAAAGAATTTAAATTAAATTAAAAGCAGTTTAATTCATTGCTAGTCTACATTTTTAGCTGTTACTCCAGCAAAACAGGGAATTGTGAGCTTGACTAAAGTAAAGCAGTAGTTCCCCCAACTCTTGTGTACTCCTGAATTGCAGTTTGATCCCCAGATTGTTTACATTATGTGTAAATTATCACCTTTCAGGGCCCTTTTCTCTGAAGAACACATAGTAAATTATTAAATATGCCACTATACTTTGGAAATTATGTGGAAATCAGTAATAAAGAGAAACAAAGGGATTTTGATTGGGCCCCTTAGGAGAAGGGCCTAGAAAAATCTGGTTTGATTAAGCATCTAAAATAAATATATTTAAATACACATGAGAAGTAAAAGTTTTCAGGTATATCTGGCAAACTTGTACCTTGAGATGTGGTGTCTGAGGTTAAGCAGCTGACCAAGTATTCTTAAACTATTCACTTTAAACATCAGCATCATTCTTTATAGTGAGGCACCTATCAATTGTTCAGTAATTTTGAGGACTAGGAAAAATTGAATCTGAGCTTTATTTTCATTTTACTCTTTCAATTTTTAGGTGTGCTTCTGATAATTCAGTTTCAGGAAAACAGGTAATAAATGAAAAGAGACAACACTTGAATTAATTACCCTAATTTATGCCCAGCTATTCATGCACGAGGAGTAATGACAAAAAACCAGGGAAAATGAGAGAATTCTTATTGTAAGATATTTCAAATAGAGCAGCTGTGGCTATATAGGGATGAAATTTTCAAGCAATTTTAGAATATCTCCTTAAGCCACAGATTGCCTGTTTTGTTTTTGGAAAGAATAAGTGTATCCTTCACCTCTGCTGTTGTCAACACTTCGTTTTTTTTAATAGATGGGTCTAATTGACGTGGAATTAATGAATCCCCAGTGCACTGGCGATGGCTCTGGGGTGTGTCCCCACATTAATCCCCTGTGCTGGAGCACACTCTTGGGCCATTAGGACAAAATAGTGCCTCCTGCTCTGTTATCACAGAGTTCTGTCCTTGACTCCAGGCAGATGAAAAGCTTCACGTGTTGAGCTCAGCTTCTGCAGGACTTCTGGTATTTGGGGTTTTGTTGGGCTGTTTTTGTCTGCTGCTGCTCCTGTACCTCAAAAGCTGTCCAGGGCCTGAAGCTCAGCTGCTATTGGCAGTGTGGATTTAGGATTCATGGCTTAAGGACCCTTCCATAGATGGTTTTCACAAGCCCTACCGTTGAGATAATTATAAATAGCAGTAGCTGAGTTTTGCTAAAAGATTACAAATAGCAGAGAAAATTCCTCTGGGGCACGGGAGTTCAGTTCCCTATGTTAAAAACAATTTTTTTACAAGACTTGGCATGAACTACTGATGCTGTTTCTGTGCAACAGGCTTGTGCAATTTCTTCTACATTTTGGTTTTGTCTTCTGCTGGCATTAGACTTTTTTAATCTACTTCTGATAACATTGTGTCAAAGCCAGAGAACTTAAAGGGGAAAAGAACAAAGTGGTTTCCACTTGAAAAAACAGAGCTGTTGGAAAGAGAGCATTGGCCCAGCGCTTCCATGAGGTCATGAATGTCTTTTTTCTGTTTTATTAAAAAGAAGATTTCTTCTTTCTGCAGATGATGTTGTATATTAATGACTCCTGGAAAGTTGCCCTTGTGCCATCAGTGCTCAGTTGGAGGCACATAAGCTCTTTATAAGAGTGCAACACTCCTGCTGCACAAACAGCTTAGTTGCTATTAGAGAGGGGGGAAAAAAGTGAGTTCTCTCTTGAGCTGTCCCTCAAGCTAAGTATTAAATTTAGTTTCTTTCGTGGTGTACTTAGTGGCAGGGAAATGAGAGAGAAAAGTCAGATTTCAAGCATAAAACTACAAAAAGTTATCAGTAGTGTGGACTGTTTTTTTTTTTTCTTTAGGGTAAACTTATCAGGAAGAGAACAGTCAAAAAATAATGCTGACTTCAGTCACCATGAGCTACAAAAATCTGCATCTTCTAAGCAGGGGTGGCCATGGATTTCTAGTTGGTTCCTCTTATTTAGGCCCTCTGTTTTCTGAGAATTCTTTAACAGTGCAATGGAGCTGCTCTGCTTCTTATTCATGACTTCCCCATTTCAGTTGCAGTGGAGTTCACAGAAGTATCTGAAAGTTACTATTAATTTAAGATCAGTTTAGCTTCAGCCATTAAAATGGAAAGACTAAAGTTTAAATTCTTGAAAGATTCTGCTTTTATCAAGAGGTACAGAAGCTTCAATGCTGATGAGTTAAGGGAAAACAACTTTGTGTTTAACATTTGAGGTGAAGTTTCTCAGATTCTGTATTAAACTGACAGAGGGAATTGCATGGGACAGCAGTGACCTGTACCTATAGTCTTATCTTCTGATCTTAAAATTCCACAAAAATTATGAGTTTTCCTTGTAGCAAGTATTTATCTTCCTATTACAAAGCTGGAATTCTATTCAGATGGTGTCAGGTGTTAAAGAAATATTATTAAAGGGCAAAAGCCTTTTATAAATAGTGGAATGTGAATGCAATCACTCACCAAATGTCTTTGATGAATTATTTGTTTAACCATTCAATAATGCTGGGAAAAATCATAGGTTTTATTTATGAATGCACTTCAGCTGGCTCATTCATTTTAAACAGGTATATTTTACTGTTAGAAAAATATACAAATCTGTGGTGCTTCAAGCACTTTGCTGTAATTTAGATTAAGCACAGTGCATTTTCCAGAAATGTCATTAGGTATCAGAGTTAACTCAGGAAAGCATACCAGAATGGATTCATGTAAAAACCCCATTTGTTTATTGTCTAGCAGTTTATCAGTTAATCTTGGTTAGGCATATATACATCCAAGCTGGGAAGCAGAAGTGGGGTTTGGAATATGAACAAAGCATAAGTTTATTCTCCTCTGGATCATGTAACATAAACTCTTTAGGAATAAAGGGCAGGGATCAGAAGTATAATCCCATCAGGGAGGAAGAGTCAGCCTAAGGACATTTGTTCCTTCTCTGTATTGTGCTGCTGTACCTGAGAATAAAATGCTGTTTGCAGTAATACTGAGCTTCATCTTGTTAGTGATCTGATCAATTTTACTTTGAAGAGAAAGTATATATAAAAAATTACACCTTTTTACTCAGCAGTTCCCTTCCT